ATACGCCCGACATTTATTCAAAGAGAAAAGCAACGTAACTTTTTTCTAAATGTCACTGTAGTTATACTGCTATACATTTACATTAAGCATACTAATTAACTTTATAGTAAAGTATTTTATTCACTTTCGGAAATACAGTTAAATTCCTTCCGATGTGATTTTGACACCCAACTTGAGTATCCTGACTGCTATATCTTACGTGATGGGACTACTGCTTGGGAATTATTTTAAAGAAATTAAAAAGATTTCAAGTTCTTTTATAATTTAGGGAAAATTCAGCATTGTTTTAATTTTTAGATAAAATTTGTACACATATTTTCATGTGAGAGACAGGCATGTAGTTTTTATGCAAGCTGTAAGAAACCAACAGCCATTTCAAGCAGAAATTTCTCCAAGTTAAAATTGCATATTAAAGTGCTGCTTTTGCAACTAATGTTAAATTTTCCAACTAAAACTCAAGGTTATTCCACTTAACATGCTGCTACTCTTTCTGATTTCTAGATTGGTTAGCGATGCTGCTAGCCGCATTGAAGGGCCAGGATTGTGCCCGTGAAGACATTGATGTTTTGGGTGTATTGTGTCTGCACAGCAGGGAGCACTTAAAATGCTGGGGAAATGAAAGTTCTCTCGAACGATTTAGTGATATGGAAACAGGAATGATTGATCCACAAATACAACTGCTCGGGCACACTCCATCAAAACTGATAGAGAGTTACACAGTTCATGAGGTGAGATCTGCATAACAAAGGTGAAATTCTGGTGTTCCGCGCACTTCCAGAAGGTCCCTTTCACTGTGTGAAATGTTGTTGCAGGTTCCGAACACAGATTGTCTACGAAGAATGTCTGGCGCGCTATCACCTGTCATTAAACGAAATACTGCCCTTCGGGACAAAACTGTTGTTGATTCTAAGGCAGGTCCTCTGAACACATATGTAACAATTTTTACAAGTTCTATCTGATTTGTAGGCCTACAAAAATGTTTAGAATTTTATCACCTGAAAAAAAAAAAAAGTTTCATTACTATCCTGGAACAACAGTTCGTTATTACAGATATTAGCAACGTAACATTTGCTTTAAATAAGCAGAACATTCCGTCAAGCAACTTCCTCCTATAGATCTAAACTTGTATATCGTAATGTTCCTTCCTTAGCCGGTTAACAAAAAGAATATGCTACAATGGCAAGATAAAGTATCCATGTAAATGGAAGACTTCCACAGAAAGAGTGACTTTATTATTGTTCTTATTCTTTATAAGCTACCAATAGCTACAAGTAAAGGTAGAAGTGCACCACACAACGGAATTTCACCATTGGTCGTACAGATATAGTCCCACGCAGTAACTGTGCAATTTCTCCTCGTTTTGAGAGAAAAAACTGCGTTTGCTCCACTGACAAGGAAGATAATAGCTTTCCTAAATATATACTAGTTAACATGCCCCACCAGCTGTGGATCTTCCTAAGACAGTCTGATAGTCTCTCTTCTTTCCCTATCACTGCGTTCTTAAGGGAACTTTCGGCTCGCCGCGTATTGAGTCATTCCTTGCTACACAGACACCATACATTTAGAAATATCCATGCCTTCTCCTTGATTCGAACCCGCGCCCATCAATACGACAGTCCGTGTCACTAACCACTATATTGGTTAAGCGGCCCAATTTTTCAACAATAATTTTCTCTTTTTTTAATGCATCGTAAAACTGAATTTCTTATGCATTCCTTGAACAAGTTTATTTCATTACATTCATTCATTCATTCAAGATACATTATTATTTTTTTAAATTATGATTTATTTTTACTAGTATATCAGTCTATTCTTGTTATTTTTATCCCGATTTATCGCTGTTAATACATAACTGAAAGCCTTGCTAGCCGTTTTTCTCGTTGTTGACTGTATATTTCGGAAACTAGTCACTACTTGGCATATCTTTGCTTATTAATGAAACACATGCGATTTTCTTTTGTCTGTTCCTTCCTTTCTCAATTATGTCAAAGGAAAATAAAACGCATTTGACACACCTCGAAGGTCTATGTCATACTAAGAGCGTCTGTACGCAACATTTCCGACAGTATTGCGTCTCGCGGGACTTATAAAAACGCGAGTTAATTTTTGCTTTAGATGCAGAAAATTAATGTATGTGAGGAGCTTTTCTTTCATTTTTCTTTTCTGTGAATTTCTACAAAGCATTTCCTCTGTTTTTCCTTGTCACAGGTTTCACATATTACGAAATTCCAAATTTTTTGTTTCTGTCTGACTTTGACACTTAATGATACCTTTGAGACATAACAGCTGAACACTGATCACTCTCAGAAATAAAAGAGCATACTTATTAATAATGTATAGTAAGAGCTCGGGTACATTCGCTTAGGCCGATTTTTCCGCATTGCGCAAGTTCATTTAAATACGTATTCTTTCTCTTCCACTTTGCCTTAAATCGAGCGAAAATCTTCACTGTTGAATAACTGCAACTTAAAGTGCCTACCGGTAACGTTGAACAAAAGCATTTAAGTTAAATGTATTGTCAACTCAAAAGAGAAGTTTAAAGAACAATTATCAGCAAGTTTTTAACTGATTTCCCTTCTCAATAAATGGTAATCGCATCCATTAAAACAGTCTTCTCAAACTGGATGTCAGCGAGACGCATTCAGCCTTCGAAGCAATTTTATATGGCCCGCTAAGACATTTTAATTATTTATTTGTTGCATAGATTTCAAGATAATAATATCTGAATTTTGGGTTTGTATTATTTAAAAAATGAACATATATAAGGCACCAGAAAATATATAAGTGTAGTTATTTTATTTACAATATGATATAAAGTTATTCAAACATCTGATTAACTGTTATTCGCACTTTTCAAAATATAAATTAGCATAGTTACGAATGTTTTCACTAAGAATAATCGCTTTGATGGAAATACACTCTTACGAGAAAAGCTTTTTCCACAGCTGAAATTTGATTTAAAAAAAAAAGAATGCGATTGACAGACGAGCACTTACTAATCGTGATGAAGATAATTACTAATAATTTCTCTCTAAAACTGCAAAAATTATCAGAATATAAACGCCATCGATTGCGAAACGTTTATAATTACTTACATACAATTACATATATTTTTTTGTGGCGAAGAAAAATTTAATAAATAAGATAAAAACTAGATTGTCATTATTAGTCATTATTATTGTCATTATTAAGGGGCTTTGTCTCTGAAGAACTGTTGTTTTCGTTTTGCGATTTTGCGTTGAATCGCTATAAATGTCCGTTTCATTTTTCAAATGTTAGAGACCTGCATTATATTTGAAGAAATTAAATAATGAAAAAATCTGCAAAAATGTATGTATATTTCTCACATTGGTTAACACAAACGGTACATAGAGAATCGAATTTTGATGACGCATCTCCTACGAATATGGACAGGAAGACCAAATTTGAATTTGGAATTTGCTTTATCGATTTCATATTTTGTAAAACTTTAACGAATTTTTGAGTAACAAACTCAACGATTTAAAAGCGCCCAATGGCAACAATCTACGGGGGGGGGGGACCTTTTTATCTCCAGCGAGCGGAACTGTGCATCGGAAATTCTAAAGATATGCTGAGAACTAGCATAGTTTTCATAATTAGTTTATTTTTAACTCATTTAATCATTTAATAATTAATCAAAAATTGTTATAATTATTTGAAAGAAGTATCAGTTTAAGAATCCAGTACTTAGTTGTCAGATATCCTTGAATTATTAATTGTAACCAACAAAAATGTCTTTCATTTTCCAAATTTTACATTCCAGACAGAAATTAAATGTAAACTGTGTTTGTTTCCTTTATGATATTATTATTATTGTTATTTATGTTACATTTTAATAAAGCGATTTGCAAGTGATATTTAAAACTTTTATAAAATATTTTTAAATTTTGTTAATTCAATTTTTCGCTTAAAAATATTTGGCCCGTCTGTTCTTTACAGATCGAGTTTGAGACCCTAAATTAAAGAATGTACTGTTTCCCTGCTAACTAACAATAAAAATGGTTAAATTGCATGCTCTAATGAAGCATGCAATTTAGCTACTTTTATTGTAATTGCTTGTCTAATTGTCCATTCTATAATAACTAAAACTGCAAAACAATCTTGGTCTCTAGATGCCAGATTTACGGCGCTCCGCAGTTCGTTTTTTTTTTTTTTTTTTTTTTTTTTAATTTATTTTAGAGGAGGGGGTAGATTTTATATAAAAAATATCGGGCTTTATGCTATATTCCAGGTTTTCTTAGCGTAATAAATTTTTTTGCAGAGGCTCCGTGGCGCAGTGGCTAGCGCATCGCGCAGCAGCACCACAGGTCCGGGGTTCGTTCCCCGGGCTGGGCAAGGTCGACTCTTAGCCCTTCATCCCTTGATTTTGATTCTTTGGGTCGATGAAATGAGTACCAGGTTCGCTTGGGGGCTAAACACTGGGGTCCTGCGACCAGCTAACCACCTGTTCAGGGCATATGCTTACGCACCCCGGGGCCCACGGTCAAGAAAGCAGATTTCGGGGCACTGCAGGCATTGGACCGTTAGGGCTGTTACTCCACTGAGTTTAGTAGTTTTTATATTTTTGTGCAATATACTTGCTCGGAGTCTAGGTTTAGGAGCTGATTCACAGATTCCTTTGGCAGACCCTATCTGTTATCTACGTAGAGAGCCAGCCATTCGTTCTTGAGTGAATATAAAACATACAGCCTACACTGCTTAGGTATTGTAACTACCTAATCTTCTACTGGGATGTCAAAATCTTCTTTAAAAAGCAATTTGAAATAAGATAAAGAAAACCTATCGTTTTCTTTCCTCTGCAGCGTAAGTTTTCTGTTTTATACATTTCTTATTTGTATACAAAAAATTACTAAGTAAATTTAAGTCTTGTTTAATTAATGTATAAATCATTTATAGTATTACAAAATTCCTATTCAATTTCAGAAATTATTATAAATTTCATATTTAATTATTATTACAAATTTCCTATTCAATTTCAGAATGCATCTATGTAAAGTCTGAAGAAGGTTTATATCTCTTCTCTTCTCCTGGAACATCACAAGTGTGTGGATTTTATGTAATTGCCGATCCTCAACATACAGTCCATTTTACTTTCCACGAATTTCGTATCTCATGTGAGAAAGGAGGACTTTTATCGGTAAGCATTTTTTCTATTTAGATATTGCATTTACACCAGATGTGCTATGTAAATAATAATTTCTAATGAAAACACTACTTAAAATTCGACAAAGAGGGTTTCACATGTAGATAGCTCTCACCTGAATCTGTTAAATTTGTTTTAAATCCAAATAGTCCATTTGTCAATAAACTGGAGAAATCATAAAGGCATGTATTCATATGTTCGAGAAGCTGCATTTTATTGCTGCACGATGCAAAGTATTGTAAAGAAGCCAAGGGTAAAGAATGAATGATGCATATATAAATACAGTTTGCTCTGAATTTCCTCAATAGATATTATGTGTGCTTTAGTTTAAAAATAAATGCTTAAAATAATAAAAATGTTTTTATTGAGTGTGTGTGTAATTATGGCAAAGCCTCGAGGGCTATCTGGCCTAAGAGGAGGGATGCCTTCGTGGAGGACTTTCTGAGGGAAACTGGCTCGTATACACGTTACACATGGGGAAAACCACGAAAAACGCCCATGCAGCCAGCCCCGTTCGCGGGATTCGAACCTCGAACCGAACGACCAGTGTTCAGCGACTTTACCGCTCGGCCACTGGTGGGCTTTTTTATTGAAATACGAATGTCACATTGCACAGCAGAAATGGTCTTTTAACAACAATCATTTGATTGTTATAATATCAGTTTCAACATTGAGTTATAAAAGAGATACAGAAATGATCCATTCATTATTATTTTCGTTACAAAATGTTTTTGATTTTTTGAATTCTTGAACAAAGTAAATTTAACGGTTAGATAATATTTGGTATTAAGACTAAAGGCTGATTCCTTTCTTTGATCTTGTCAGTTGGAAATCAATACTTTCCGATAGAATTATTTACCCCTGTAGTTCTATTCCACGCTTTATCTCTAAACTTAACTACATGAAATGCAACAGAATATATCAGTAAATTCAACGAATATCACACTGTGAAGTTTTTCACAATTTTGAACCACATTTTTTTCAGTCAGTATGTCTTATACTCGAAGTATCTCTGAGATTATTTTGCGCTTCTTCAAGCAGATCTCTTCGCACCTGCTTCCATTCCGGAAGCAGCCAGGTTTTTAAATTAAGCCAGGTTTTTGAATTCTAACTCTCTTAGTGTGAAAAATAAATAAATAAAAAAGAATCTGTGCTCATGAACATGTTGCCGTCTTTAGTCTAGGATCAGCAATCGAAGAATTCTGCAAAACGATGCAACGATGCATTAAGACCCATCAAGATAAATGGCAAAACCTTTTTCAGAACGGTGATCTACACTCAATTTGCTTAGATCACGGACGATATCGAAAATTGCGAACGCTCAGCCGAACTTTCCTATGGCCACTGATCACATTTTCTTCAATCTTGATAGCTTTCTAAAATGCTTAGGAAGTATTTGAATACTTTCATAGCACTCTCACACTTTTATTGTCTTCTTTAATTCTCTTGTTTTCTCGTGTTCTGCTGGAATTTAATTACTATATTTCTCGTGTTCTGCTGGAATTTAATTACTATATAGCTATTCTCTAATGGATCTTTCAATGCTTATTTAATTTCTTCAAGAACAAGGTATGTCTCATCTCGACTATTTATACTACTGTTTTTATAAAGAATCCACTTTTAGTTGAAAATTCTTTATGTATAAATATGTGATATAAAAAGTATGAAAAACAAAATTCTAATTTTAACTTGAAGTAACCCATTAAGTTTCCTGTTTAATTTGGTTATTTTATCTTTATATCAGTACTGTATGCATATATATATATATATAATATATAACTATTCAAATGTATATATATATATATATATATAATTCAATATCTGTATATATATATATATATATATAATATATATATATATATATATATATATATATATATATTACAGATATTGAATATGAACTGAAATTCATTGAAATCAAAATACTTGCGAAATAGCTGCAAGTAAGATATAATAATTATTTGCTAAATGAGATTATTATGTTATCTCCTAATATAAATTTAGTAGAATGTATTTAAATAAAGTAATCCAAAATTGTGAAATTTGATCCCGAAAATAATATTTTTTAAGAAACTTATGTATATATATATATATGTATGATATAAGAAAATATGATAACTGCTTCAAAAATAATTAGCGACCTCAAAATTAACGATTCTAGATTTGGTGTTCTCCGCCTAAATTCATCTGTTCTCCCAAATTCGAGATCTTTCTGTGTTATGTAACAACCTAAGATTAACCAATTATAGCTTGTCTCTACAATTACATCAGACTTAGTATAAATACTCTTGACACAAAAAACTATGTCATTCTTCTTCTTCTACCTTCAGCACCCAACATCCACGCCCCTTTGCTTCACCGTCTAAAATGCTTGCGTCTTATTTTTAAGAAACCAATGTAAATTACGATTGAATAAATGTCTGCCAAACTAATTGGATATGTGTGAAAATAAAGATTGGTGATTTATCGAAATCCAGTTCGTTATCTTCAGCTGTATGTCTTAACCATAAGCTATGAAGACTGCAAGCTGATTCCCCCTACGCAATAAATTATGACATATATATGTGTGTAATGAAATCAAGCAATGAATGAATTTTATCATGTGTTCTTAAATAAAATAAAAGACTTTGAGTCTAGTTTTAAAGAAACTTTCTCTGCAGCATGTTTACCTTAAAACTGAACGAATTTATTTGTGATGATAAATAACTTTTAGAGGAAAGCAACATTTAAAATTCTTATTGTGACATTCAGCATCACTAATCTCATAAAAGAAAATACTTACAGTAATAATTCTACTACCGGCGTCGAAAAACACTATCGTATATAAAAATGTACGTTTTCTCTTTCGAGAGCTTTTCTTTACTTCTTCTTTTTAAATAAACATCTTCTCAATTACTTCTTTTCACTATTTTTTCTCTTAAAATTACGTTTGTCGCAACAAAATGTGTGAATAATTTCCATGTTAAAGCATTCCGTTTTCTTCCTATTTGAAACAAAATCAATCCCCAGTCAATTACCTGAATTCCTAGTATATTGCTGCTTGTAGAAAGAATTGCTTGGAATTTCCTTAACGAAGAGCTATTTATATGGCATCAACAAGTCTTATTTACGGCTTTAAAATGAAAATGCAGTGTTTTTTTATTTTACATCCTCAGTCAGTAACTTAAACGAAGAATTTAGTGCGATACTTTTATTTTAAACATTTAATAATGAATCCTGAAATAACCGTCGTGAATTCAAAGCATTTCTTTTTATGCTTGACAAAAATACCGTTTATCAACCACAAATGACATTAATTAACCTTTTTAAACTCGGAAATGGTGGAGAAAAAAGGCTCATTGTTTGTTCTAATTATGCACGAGATTGATCCTATTAAAATTTTCTAGCAATTCTTTCCTCATTAGCGGACACAAAAAGTAAATGGCTACCTTTTGTAAATGCCTTCCATGTTAGAATCCTTTCAAATGATTAAATTAAGGCTACAGAAATTATTTCATTAATTAACATTTGTTGCTAAGCCAATGATTTTAGGAAAATAAAATCTTAAGAAAGTTACATTCCGACTAGAACTTTAGTCGTACAAATGAGAAGTTTAGTATTATTTAAATAATGGGTGAAAAATTTAATTGAAAATATTTCTTATAACGAAAAACTGCTTTTAATTCCATGTAATAAAAGAAAATTTAACTTCTTTTAATCAAGTGCTTGAAAATTACGCAATGGATAGTATATTAGGTAAAGTTAGCTCGCAGTTCTATCATGCGCCTGATTAATTGCAAATTTGGAAGTGGCATTAAATCCACCAAGTTTTGTAGTCGGTGCGAGTGCCTGTTAGACTAGGCGCGTTTTGCATATATAAGTAAGATTTCAAAGTATGCAATCTGCAATACTCTCTTTGCTCTCCATTTTAATCTTTGCTCTCCATCCTAAAATTACAAGAGTCATATAATTCTTACATAACGCTAGTGACTCATGAATTTACACAGTGCTTCAGCTAACTTCCACTTTTGGGAAACAAAATTTAAAATTAACCAATAGTAGGAAAGCTGAACCATTCTGAATTAAGATTTCACTTTGAATACATCATATTCTCTCTTGCTTCCATCCCGGTAACTTGCTTACTTTCCGCTGCTGCATTCTTTTTCCTCAGATATACATTCATTGAAGAATTGGCACACTCAGCGCCTATTTATCAGTGATGCATCAAAAAATATTTGTCTACTAAAAACGTAGATTTTTATCAAGAAATTAAATAAGTGCTCTACCAGCCCTGATTTACCGTTCTCTTATGTGTTCTCTCTCAAAAGTGGGTCGAAAGCTTAATAGTTAGCTAAGTAGAGAGATTACCTCAATAACGTGTAGTACTACAGGGATGCTGGCCTAGCTTCTATCTGTATTGATTGCAAGTGTCTCAAGGCTTCTTTCCAAACTTGTTTTTAAAAAGTTGTTTTTGTTAATGTTTCCGTTGTATGATAGGTAGCACTGTACTTGGCAATATTCTTTATTAGCAGATAGTTCTTTTGATGCATCGAAATCATTGTGTAGTGTTGCTCCCTTTTATATTGGCTCACCAGCGGCCGAGCGGTAAAGTCGCTGAACACTGGTAGTTCGGTGCGAGCTTCGAATCCCGCGAACGGTCTGGCTGCATGGGCGTTTTCGTGGTTTTCCCCATGTGTAACGTGTATACGAGCCAGTTTCCCTTAGAAAGTCCTCCACGAAGGCGTTAAACGTAATGTCGAGGAACCTAGCGAGCTTCTAAACGAATAATCGCTTAAGTTCAAGAACTGAAACGTAAACTCAAGAAGGGTTAATTATCCTTTATTTATTCAAAATAGAGATATGACAGTCGGCCCCTTTCTCAGCCTCCAGTTGAGCTTAAACACAGAATGTAAGAAATAATAACTAACTAATGACTAACTAAAGAGATTTAACCGAAACTAACACAATTTTAAATTAGTTGGCCCGTAATATTAAATTATCCAGCGAATCTAACA